GTGTTAATTCATCATGATTGATATCTACCCCCTAGAATTTATGTAACCGATGGTCGTCACGTGATTTATAATTCATGAAGTCATTTTAATCCAATTGTATTGTTTGGGGCCACAATTCACTCATTCTCATTCACTTATTCTGAACTTTGAATTCGAAGTAGCAAGAATTTGGTATAATTTAAACTGTAAATGGTTGTTTCAATTTTAAATTGAATGACGAAGGGAGCTACTCGTTGCTTACATTTCCACGAATACAAATATTTGATTGTCCAAAGACAATTATCCAATTTGATTGTGATTGCTTGGCGGAGTTTAGCTTCTTGTCGATAACCTTTTTCAAATGAGAAAAAATAAATTATATATTTGAATGTTATTTGAACCATTTATTTGCTCAATGACTCTATCCACATATTTCTTTGAGACATGATTTATCGACAATATAGAATCTAATGTTTATAACATTTCTGTGCGATTATTTATTTATTAAATTTATGTGGCATAGCTTTTAGTTGGCCAGAGTTGTAAGAGCAATAAAACTTTCGTTTTACGTGTGTCGCAGAATTGTCAGGTATTTGTATAAGTTGTGAATATGAATTCGCCTATTTCGCTTTGTAACATATTTAAGGTGTTACCTGAAGTTTTTTTTATTGATGATAGAAATGGAGAGAATTGTAACAAGGAAGTTTTTTTTATATATGCGCTTGATTCTTCCGCATTCCGTACGAGTGGCAAGCAGAAAAAAAATGCTTGTGCGCAATTTTGCAAAGCCAAGACTAGAAATTGGTGAACAGAACATGACACGAACCATACCAAACATAGAATCGAAAAGAATGAAACTATTCGAACTACGACCGAAATGAAAAAAGAAAAAGCATCGGAACAATGAGCAACAATGCCAAAGCAAATTTTTCTGCACATACGACAATAATTTTTTTTTTTGTTTCTGCGTCACATGAGCTCCGACTCGAACACGTAGTTATTCGTGCCGAGTTTGTGAGGTGACATAGCAATGCCTGCAAGAATTCTGGTTTGAATGCTAGCGGCGCACAGATATAACGATAAAAAAGGGATGAGCCAAGGTGATTTTAATATTGTACAGTACGCTTCAGTTCTTTAACCTAATGGCCTTTCTACAATTGCGAAGAAAAGATATAAGTTTTCACAGTGCCACAAACCTACAATTTGAAGCTAGCAATTGGCAAATGCAATGACTCCCCTGTTGCATAACACATAACAATTTACACTGGTATACTATACTGCTGCCCATATTTCTAGCTTACAAGGTATGCGATGTGTGTCGGTGTGTGTGTCTATGTTCAATTCAAAGCGCGCACATTCAAAGTCGAGATCATGTTGTTGGCTGAAGATTTAAACACGTTCATCGCTACACTGTATATTTTCTATCGCGTACACTCTACAAGACATTCTTGCCATTCTCATTTGTATAATCGAAAAAATAACAAACAGAACATAGAAATTCATGATGCATATGGCTGTGCCTTGTTATTATTCCAGCGAGGTGTGTTTGCGTTTTGTAAGCAAGTGAATCGGAGAAGTTTTTGTTTACACCACATATGTGGAATGAGAGAACGAGAAAGGGAGCATGTAAGAGAGAGAGAAAAAGAGCCAGAGCTTGGCAAGAGCTGATGCTGAATTTGAACTCTGATCGTAAAACAATGTAAACATTTCGTTTAACAGCACATTCGGTTCAACGGCATTCTGATGCCTTGCTTAGGCAAAAACATACCGTTTGCAAGCTGGTGAAATATACACAAACAACGGCATCATGCACACCAGAAATGCATTTCAACTGAAAGAAAAACCAGAAATGAAAACAAAGAAAACCCAAAATCACCTTAATACTCTGGATTCGCCTTTCAGTCAGTTTACTTTCATACCGAATTATTTTTATTCTCTTTCATCTCGGTTGTGTGTGTAGCGGCATTGTGCATTACCGAACTGAAATTATAAACGTGCCACTTTTTTCTCTATCTTCCTCATATATGACAACGTTTGTCTGATAATCAACTCACCGTAATTCGTGCGCCTTGCTCACTCGACACGAACAACTTTTTGACATTTTTACGTGTTTTATTTCCTTCACATGCAAACACACAAGTACAAATTGACTTTTGCGCCCAGGTTTTTTGTTCGTTGCGCCGATCTTGACAAAAAGTTGTTTTTTTCATTCTTTGCTGCAATTGTTCACGTACGCGTGATGCATATTGTTTCTTCACTCCTATTCAAGTGTACTTTATGCAATTTTTATATCTTTGTTCGCTTCTTTTTTATATACATTGTTTTCCTCCATTGTTTGGCACTAACTTATTATTTACGGAGAAGAAAAATGACACACATACACTACAATAAATTCAGCGAAAAATTAGAAAAAATAGGATCTTTCAAATGAATGCACGTGATTAAATGTATGTTCAACGCTCAACAATTCAAATGTATAGTGGAAAAGTTAAGCTTTTGAAGTGTCATACCAATTTTTCTACCTTACAATCGAAACGAAAATAAAACATGAACCAATTCTGTTCTCTTTTATATTGAACGAAAAAAGCGCTCCCAACAATTTGTTTTATTTAGAATGAAAGCAGCCAATAAACCATACGAATTGTGTTGGGCTAAAACATTAATCAATTTCTTCCGACATTCTTTTTTCTATTTGAATGATGATGCGTACCAAGATAATTCAGTGCGAAAAGTTAAAGCTGGTCAATTTACGCTTCACACAATGGATGATTATGTTGTTATATTCATTGCGTGATTGCTTGGGGTTTCTCACAGATTTAGGCCTACAGACATGACAAGTTGATGAATAACTCGAGGTAGGCGACTTTTTATTATTTATCAAGCAGAGCGAAAGAGAAATCAAACAATAAACAAACACATGAGAGAAAAAAAAACAATACAATTTCCCATCGTATCCGGTATACTTTGGCATGAATTTCATGCGAAAAAAAAACAAATTCAAAACAAACACCAAAGCCAAGATAACAAGAAAGGATATCGTTCAATTTTGAATTTTATCGATTTTTCAATTTGACGAAGTTTCTTCACAAAATAGTTTATATCAGTGCGACGAAAGTCTATTGCCATTTTAATAATAATGGAAGGCGTCGTCGAAAACAATGCAATCTTTCAAGCAGCTGTCACTAGTTTTCCATATTTTTCCAAACATTAGACAAATATTGAATTTGCCGTTGGGTTTTCTATGTTGTTGTTGCTATCGCCATCAAAATCGTGGTGACTTCGACTTGCCAAAGAAAAATTGTTTGCAGTTGGACGCGTCTTTGCCAAGGCTTGTTTCCTTTTCATTTTGTGACTCCTTTGTTTTTATTAGCAAAATGGTTTGGATACTGTTGCATGGGACGTCTTGTCCCGTTGACATATATATTTGTTCTTGATTTTATATTTTTCCTAGAACAGTGAACGGGTCGTGTGTGTGTGTGTGTTTTTTGCAATGCTGAATTGTGTATAAGTGAATGTTCGCAAACAAAATCCCAAGTTTTGTTTTTACAAACATTGTAAAGGCAAACTTAATGGTACAAAAGCGAATGGACGAGAAAATGTAGCAAACCGGAGCAGTAAAAAAAAACCAGCCATGTTTAGCGTTCACCGCACTAACAATAGCCATATTTTGCAGCCCACGCCGAAGAGTAAACAGCGCAACCAGAAAATGAAGTTTTCTTCCAATGTTGTTGTCGCATTTCATTTCGCACTCTCGCTCTCTGGCTGTCTTTTGTGTTAATGTAGAAAGTTGTGACTGTCAAAAAGCCAAACTAACATAAATCATCTCGATCAGAGTCAGTGATTGTGCTGTTGCTATGTATTCCATTTAGTTTAGCTCGTTCATTGTGTACTCGCTGCTAGTGATAGTTGTTGTTGCAAGATTTTTTTTTCTTCATCTCGGTGTCTCGGCTTGTGCGTTCACGATTTCATGTCATCCACTGAAATATTGGGAGCCGGATAGGATTTTCTTTTGGCTTGGCATTCACAAACAATCTCGAAAATTGAGATTGCTTTCGGTGTGACGACTTGTGCGAAAATGAAGACACAGCACAACATTCAGCAAGCAGTCAAACATTTGTATGTTTTGGCTAGAAAGTTCCAAATGTATACGCGAAGCGCTTAACGCTATGACGTTAAAATCGAAGAAAACGTTTAGGATTTTTTTTGTGTCGACGTTCTTCTATTTTCAACTTAAAACGAGAGGGAAAAAACGAGCAAAAGAAAAATGGTGTGATGATTCGTGCTTCTAGGTCACCAGTACGTGCTTGTAAATCAATAACAAATGCCAATGGTTGTGTGGCTTTGAATTTCATCACCATCGAAAACGTTTTCAATTTACGAATTATGAAGACGTTGTCACGTCGAATGAGCATTTATATTTCCCTTTTTTCTTAAAATAATTTCCAAAAAACGAAATGTCCGTGAGAAGTGTCGATGTCGTGACAGCGACGTCAAAATTTATTGCTTCAAATGGTCTTTTAGCTTCGTTTTTCTTAGCTAGAATTCAGCATTTCATACCTTCGAATACCTATTTATATATGTATTCGTTCTAGGTCTGTGCACAATACGGTTAGGTGTAAAATTATATGTATCCAGCAAACACCAAGAATATCATTTCATCATTTTCATTAGACTTGACATTATGGCAAGCATTTTACGATTATGTGTGTATGTGTTTTTTTTTTCGTCGACACGATTGATTTGAATTTGAATCACCCCTGGCCGTATCTTATAACAATGAGACGGCAATGGAAACTTTTCTCTGTCCGAATCACAATCGAAAAGTATTTTTAAGATTCACAGCGTTATATTTATTTAATATTATATTTTATTATTTCTGTCCATGCCTTGTCTACCGTCTCACTTCAACATTTATAGCATTTCTTCATACATTTTTCATGATTGAATTGCTAGATGTACATTTTTTTTTGTTTCTGCTCGTTTTCTCATGTTTTATTCTTTCTTTTATACTCTATTTTCAGCATGGATTATATAGGCTTGGGTTGCTGTGCGCTAGCGTTTGTCCTCTACTTCAACACCCTGGATGCGGGCTTCGTTTATGATGATAGGTAAGTTTCGTCTGTGACATTTTCTCTTTATTTTTCTTCTCCTTCTGACAATGCATTCAATGTCTTTTAAAGCTCAGATTTTTCGTTGCTCATTCACGATGGAAACGTGAAATACGAAGACTAGCGTAGAATTTGAAAAAGCAAAAGAAACGCATTAAGCACATTTTTTTACTGTCGTTATGGCAAAGCAAATGCGTTTATTTCATCAGTTGTTTTTATATTCGCATTTATCGCATCGAAATTGATGACACATTTTCCACCAATTTATTCACATTTCTATATTTTATAGCTTTAACTTTGCCATTTCGACAAGATGAAACGGCAATAAAAATCGTTTGCCGATTTGTTTATCTTCTCATTATCACATACTTGTAAAGTTTTGTTTGTCGGTTTTGTTCGCTGTGTTTTTATCGCGTAAGTTTCTGGTCGCCCATTTTTCAAAAAAATGAAAATTAAATGCGATGAAACGGTGATTTGAATCGTCGATAAAATGAAAAGTTTAATATCAGATAGAAAACACATTTTTTGTGGTTCTCATTCATTTATGGCGTATGATTTCATTAAATATGCATCAATAGCCTTATCAATGACTGCTACATCGTGATTTATGGCATGTTTGGTCTAACTGAATTAGTTTTGCTTTTCAATACACACATCGGACCTATCATTTAATTAAAATATATGTGTACGAAAGTCATTGTCCGTTCGCAATTTTCGCTAAATCATACGTTTTAATTGATTTCTCGTGTGTAATTAAGCTGCATGATCTGAAATTGGTGGGTTTTCAAAACAAAAGATGCTGGGGAACGCATTCACATACACACAATGCAACATCATTTTTACTGCGTCACCTAATCACTTGCACGGGCATGAAATTATCGGCGTGTGCGGAATTATTTCATGCTGATACATTTGCAAAGGAAAATCAATCATGCCAAAAGCATTGATGTGCCTGTACAAATATTTCCGAATATACAGAGTGCTATGCTTTACGATGCGAACAATGAACCAAAGTCAATAAGTTAGATTAATTTTGCTTCGGTTACAACGGGATTGTGTGTAATTTGGTAGGTATTTCGTTTATATTGTAAATAAATACAGCTAAATAAACGCACATTCGGTGATGACCGATTGAAAATAGCTTATCGAAATAGACCACTTGAATCGTTCCCCTGACGATTTTATTATTATATATTTCGGTTCAAAATTATTTCACTTAAACGTTCAACCGCCAGCTCTGGTTCTCGATATGGCGCATTTTACAAGTGAAATTCTTAGTGTTCACACATAAAAATGATACCCCAAAAACCAGCGGAATCAAGGCATACAACTATTTAATGTTCTATCCATATATTTGGTTTTGCAATATGACAATGACAACAATCGACGATGCACGAGGACGGTGGTGTGTTGATGATGGTGATGGCAAACGACGGAGACGACGATGACGTACAATGACGCAGTTTCATTATAACAACGTTCAAGAACACGTGACCAATTTTCGATCTAATGGTGCGACAACAACTGCATATTTATTGTTTAATGCAAACAATGCAATGAATGCATTCACAAATATCAGCATGTCACATGTCACCAATCCACCAACCAAACCATCTACCACAATGAAATGAAATGTTGAGGCGACTCTTGATTCGAATTCAACCAAACAAGGTTCAAGCATTCAGAGAGAAGTGTGGCAATAACACATAATATTCACAATTTCAACCCTCACTTGAATACAATTCGAAATTTGTACGCTTCACTTTATCGCATGACACAAATATCCCCACATACATAGTGCGCGCACACATTCAAACGCGCCTCGAGAACAAATGAGTTTCGGCTGGCCATCCAATCGATTTCGATTTATTACAATATTATTTTGGTTTTTTGTTGTATTGGCTCCGGCAATAGCGAATTTTTGTTTCACTATAAAATATCCATAAAAACCATTTCGTTTTTTTTTGGTTTGTTACGATTGTTGTGTGTCGGACCGAGAAAAACTTCAATCGAATAATAATCGATATTCGTGTGACAGAAAAACATTGTCGAAATAAAATCGAATCAAGAGCGACGCTGATGCTGGCTGCAACACCAACGCATTGCAATTTACAAACAGTTTGTACATTGTTTGGCCACTATAAATGCCTGTATATACACAATTCATGTCATTGATATTGTGAGTCTATGCTTCATTTGGTTCCTCTTGATGTCTTTCGTTTGGATTTAATTGTCCAATAAAATTATTACATTGTATGTGCGCAAAGTGAATGAACGACGACTCATTCTTGTAGTCCAAGTGCAAATGGGCCATTCGCATACGATCCAACCAATATATACAAATCTATGTACAATATAGTCATCATCAACAAACGCACATTGGAAAAAGCAGTCTGTGCACACATTTTCATTAGGATGTTTATGTTTTTGCGCCATGTGCAATAATTTTTAATTAACGACCGTAACATATTGATGGCTCTTTCGTTTGCTTCGAAACCAATAAACAACACATGAAAACTTTATATATTTCATTTTCCGGCGACGATTACATAATGAAAGCGCAGTGAAGCAATCACAGGCGCGCAATATTTACATATTGCCCCGGTGAAACATTTACATTTTGAGTTTGCTTGCGATGTACTTGCTCAGCAGGACTAAGGATATAACGAAAGGACGAGAGAGAGAGAGAGGGAGGAGGAGAGATTGAGTTAGTGACACGCGTGGTCCGCTCTAGCATTTTATACAATTTTATCGGTTTTAATGTTTTGTTGCATTAGTTCTGTCTCACTCTCTAACGCTGTTAAAACAACAATGCCTCTTCCAAATGTGTATGTGATGCTATTTTTCAGTTTCAACTTGGATAAGTCAGACTGCTAGTGCATTTGCTCGTAAAAATTAAAGAATCCAGCGATCGAGAGGGAGAGATAGAGAAAGAGAAGGAGATACATGGTTTTGCAGGGTATATGTACATTTTGAAATGGCTGGCAGCAATGCGGCAACGCTTATACTATTTTATATATGAAAGAACATGAAATTGTGTGAACGAATTTAAATCTCATGGTTCGCTGTGTGAATAGTACACTTTTGTACGCTGATGTGTTACATCCTATATCGTCCATCCTTTGCAATCGTGCAAACGGTGTAAAATCGTAATAGCATATTAGCCATGAGCGACCCAAAAACATGGCTGGAACAAAGTATACGGTGAAACGCGCAAAATATATTCATTTTATGATTTCCCCGGAGTCATAAAACACATAAATTCGCATTCGGTCATTGCACATGCAACAAAACAAAACAAATGCGGACGCGAAATGCTTGCACACACACATGCATTCCAGAGAAAAAGAGAAAACAAATAGGAAACAACAACAGTAACATGAAGCACAATGAATTCACCAGTTTTTCGCTTCAACCGAAATTATTATGATATTTTGAAAACAAATGAGAGAAACACCATTTCGTTGCAGCACCACCACGCGCCGCGTTCAGCTTTCATACGCGCACAATTTTCGACAGTATGTTACAATACAAAAGATCCGTAAAAAAATGAAAGCATGTGCAATAATTATTCATATTTAATATAGCATTTAGCCTAATGAAAATCACATATGGAATGTGCTTAGTGTTTAGCAGCAAATACAATGGGCCAAAAAAAAAAATAACATTGAATCATGATTAATTCGATGTGCATTCAATGAGCAATTGCGAAATGGATCGCTGTTAAACGATGCCAACGGGCAATGTGCCCATTCATACAATTATTTCAATTTTCATTATTTTAATGAAAATGTTCATGGGAAATGATAATGTTGCTTGTCGCTTTTTTACTTTCCTCTCAATAAGAGGAGATAGATGCCATTCTATCATGATGCATTTTTTGAAAAAAAAAAAAACACGGAAACTTCTGTGGAAATTGGAATTTCTTTTATCACTTTTTATTGCATTTCTACGAAACACTCTTTTATAGCACGTTATGAAAATAAAACAATCAATAAATTTAAAATCCATTTTGATTTGAAGCGAATACTTGAATCGACCCGATTCGATAGAGTGAAATAATTTTGGTTTTATTACCACCAGAAGAAAAAAAGTACGTTCATTGCATTTGGTTTGGTGTGCAATTGTTTTTTTTTTTTCTCTTTTCGTTGTTGGCTGTCTCGCGATAATGCCACGAATTTTATTAGCGAACGCTTCAGGGGTGTTTTTCTGTTGGTTATGCCCTCTGTTTATTCAATGGGTGACTCTACTGCAATATTCAATTTCTCAATTTGTTAAACAATAACGTCAATTATGTACAATGTAGCATTTTTCAAATGTTTATCGTTGCACTCTATACCAATTTGAAATAGAACACTCGATTCACGATAATAATATAACAATGTATTGTGTGTTTGGATCTGAATCCAAATGTCCAATAATAATAATGCTCAGATCGAACGGATGAGAATGTGCGCACACCAAAGGTTTGACACAATTTATGTGCGATATATTGTTTATTTGTTGCATTTTAGTTTTCGTGATATATTTTTTTGTACTTTCTGTGTGCATTCATTTCATTCGATAACGTTTCGGATTCCATTTTAATGAAATTGAACACATATTTCACTGCAATTTTTCTTTTGTTTCAATTTGTTTTAAAACGATCGAATGGCACTTGATCTCGGGAACACATACATTTCACTTTTGTCACCAATTTCTTTTGTCACTATGTCTGCCATTCTCGGACATTTTTCAAATAGAAACATTTAATTTTTAACACAGACGATAGAGCAAGAAAAAAAAATAGTGGAAAATCGCAATTTTTAAAGGAATTCAAGCAGTTAATTTCATGGAAATCTCACAAGCTTCATTTCTCTCTCTCTCTCTCTCTCTCTCTCTCTCTATCTATCTGATTTTAATAGTGGGCACATTTCGCAATTTAATACGTAAAACATTCATTAAGTCGCCATTATAATTGTGCACTCCAACGTTTATATGTGATATTAAATTCCATGCTG